CTTGCTAGGATGAATATTTTCCCCTTACGATTTTATATCTAGTCATTGTATACTGTCACACGACCCCACCGACCGGGGCTTTTACTCCGGGCAACCTATGATGCTGGAATCGTGGGTTAATATCGTTTCTGCTTGGGCGCAATGAATAACTTATTAAGCGTAAGATAGCAAGTTCAAGAACCTCGAGTGATATGTGGTGATAGTCATTTAATCACAGGATGAGAAATGTCTTGTCTGATAGCATGGAATTGGTGGGGAAGAACAAGGGAACCGGGGGCTTGGTGTGGACCAGGGGTAATTCTCTGCAAAGGTTATTTTTCTGGTTTCGCGGACAACCTTATAATCTCCCCTTGGTCCACATTTCATTGACCCTCGGAACGGTTATTCCTGTCCTGGTTTCTCATCTTGCTGACTGTGAATACGTTTCTCTAATCACCGTGAACACTCAGAGTGCTTGGGATTTGCGTCAAGGTGAGCCCTATTCTAGAGAAGAGGGTTCATAGTAGAGGTAGTTCCTGGAGCGGAGTCTCTGCGCCTTGCACTATAAAAGTGGATATTTTATCGTCGGTAATTCCGGCGATGAGGGTCTGCGAAAATGCGTTTGTCGCGGTAAGGAGGCGCTAGACAACTTAAGGAATTAAAGTTGTCCTAAGAAGCTCCAATACGCTCGCGGAGAACTGAGACGTTTGATAGCAACTCGAACAACTTCAATAACTCTTAAGAAGATATAGGGGAAGGCATGATGCCCGAATGTATAAAGAGAACAATAATGACCTTATCCATCACTGGAAGAAACCGGTTTCTTGTATCCCCCACTCTAGTATACGCCTTCAAATCCAGAGGGCTGAAGGATACTCAGCTTATGCAACATTGCTGGCGAATAATCGAAAACTAATGAAAAGCACTCTATCACCAAAATAAACGCAACTTAATATAAGGGAATGGTATAGGACTCGGAAAGTAATTTATGTGAGATGAGTGAGAAGGTCTGTAGAAAACGGAAGACAATATTTTCAACAAAAGTGATCAGAGGAGTAAGTGAAAGGCTATGATGGAGTTACGTTGCTCTCGGGGTTGCCGGCCGGACAGGGGATCTGGGATTAGGGAGGTGGTAACACATTGATGTGGTATGGGCAGTAGGCAACAGGAAGAAAGTGTGGAAGGATCCAACACTCTTTCCGCTCACCAGTTGTTCCTCCAGTATATACACCAACAGGTAAACAAAGGTGATATCAAATCTCCGGGAGAGACTGGGCACTCATTCAAAAGGGGAAAAAAAGAAAAGAAGATGGAATATTGGAGAGGTTGGGAGTTATGGGAACTGAGGTGTGTAAATGAGAGGATCGAACGATATCGAGAGTGTTTATGGTAGCGGGATTAGTGTGTCATGTTATATATTTTTCTTTCCCTTCCTTGCACTAGTCTCAAGATGCGGTTCATATAGCAAGCAACGGAAGGTGGGGCCAAGGGGACAGCTGCTCTCATATTTCTCGTGGGTTCAGAAGGGTTGGTCGGTTTTTCGAGTGGCTCGAATGGAGGTGAGTATCGGTGGAATAGCGGGAGTTTGGGTTTGATATTGCCGGGGTCTTTATGGAAAGGGACAGCGAGAAAGTCAAAGGAATTGGACAAGGCAGGAGCAAACAAAAGTAAAAACCCTCTCAGGAGAATCAATTGCTGCATCCGGAAGGGCGGGATTAAGTGTTGTGTGAACACTAGCGTGAGGAGTAGAAACCTTTGGTCCTGGATATCAAAACCCAAAGGTTCTTTTAGAAAGAGGCAGAGTTGGTTCCTGACGGCCCCGCGGGAAGTGCATTTGAATGCAGTGCGCTCTGCTTGAGTCTGTTGATTTAGGCGTGGTTCCTTGTGTTCGGACAGTATCATATCATATATAGTGCAAAAGCTCATGGCAGGCCTGCACCCTGGAGCCCGCTCAACTGGGGCCTTTCGTCTCGGGGTTGGTGCGGTTCCGGTGTGGTGGCGGTTTCGCGGCTCTCGTGTGCCCGTATCCTGCGGCGCGCCGGGGTTGTGTTGGGCCACCTCCCCCAGACGTCTGCCGTGCTGGAAGTGATAACCCCCCGTTTAATTCACAGTTTTAATACTCCTCACGCTCCCCGCTAGCGCCCCACGTGATTGCATGCTGATATCTCATTCCTTCATCTCCAAGACTCAAACAGTCAAGTTGAAGCAATAGCCATGTTCATAGTCACAGGATATGCATTGTTTCCTGAGGTGTTGCTATTCCTTCACTACGGGATCTGCTTCGAACACCAACGGGGCCAGCAGAAAGCTGGCTATGAAACTAAGACTTCAATGAAACATATCAAAAATACACAAGATTGAAGAATAATGGCAAGATGGCCGAGTTGGTTATGGCGCCAGGTTAAGGTTATCTTAACATGTATCCTGGTTCGGGAAACTGAGCGTGGGTTCAAGTCCCACTCTTGTCACATCTTTTTTGCATATTTTTTTGCCAGGAGATACCTGCTCCCAAATCTCCTTAGACATTCTTGCCTAAGGGCATGGCAAGGGAGAATGAGTGAGACTGTACAACACGGATAAATTCTTACTCTGGCCGTAGGACGAGGGATGTGGGGGGAATGTCTTTGGCGCAGAGCATATTGATTGAGGAGGAAGGTTCTGCTGCAGATTGTGAGGGAGAAGCATGACCTCCGGACAGGATACTACAATTCCTCATTCATTGCCGAATTGGCCAACCATAAACCCCACAAAAAAATTGAAAGCTTTCCTTACCCCCCTCCCTTTCCCCACCAAAGAGCGCAGCTGACAGGTGGAGGTTCTCCTGCAAAGAATCGGGCGGCGGAGGGAATTGTTTCCTCAATTGTGAGAAACAACCTGAGTGAGGAGCTAGGGAGCATCGGGAAGTGCCATGCCGAGTCCCAATCGGTCGACTCCACAAACGCCGCCCCCCGACCAGAAGGCCTGATCTATTCCCGCCGCTGCGTATCTTTCAGCCCGATCTTCTTTCTTTCTTCTATGTTCCGGTCCCATAGCGACCTCACATGGCTCCTCTCGTCTTCGCAAAAATCTGCTTCTCGTAGCATCTCTACGAGTACAATCCAGCCAGGCAGCAAGCTCGCAAATGAGCGAACACGTGAAACAGCTGTGAGCATGTCCCCCCCTCGCCCAGCCCAACCAAGGCGCCACGAGAGCTCCTATCGTGAAAGTCGGGAGGGCAGTCGGGAGCCATTCCCCGAGGACCCGACAACCCCAGAGACAGGAATAGGCAAGAAGAGCCGGTTTTCTTATGAGGCATGTTGGGTTTCCTCTTCCAGCCCCCAGGTGCTCACACGAATGCCTGGCTGCCTGATTGCCCTTTGCTCTTTGCACCTGGTTTCGGGGACGAATATTAGGTTTTACTCATGTGAAGTGTGATGGTCAGCTCAAACCCATATATATTTCCTTTTTCTCTCTCATACCTTTTGCTTTTTTTTTTCGTCACTCATCGCGTGTCTCAGAAGAAATTTAGGGTGTCATTTCTCCCCCCATCTGTGTTACAGTAACTGCGCCCTGACCATATCCCCGCATTTTGGCTTTACAGCGGGGTTTCGCGATAAATATGTGGGTGCGTTGTGGGGAATCATGGATTCTTGAGCATCGGGGATTGTTTTTTGTAGGAACTTTGCAATGGAAGCTAAGTGACTATTTTTCTGTTTTTGGGGAGACTCCAGTTTGTTTGCAAGGCTTGAGCTATTTGTCCTTTTTCGAGGCTCAAATAATGGAATCCCTGTTCATGGGCACCCCGGTTGTCTGATAAACGTCATTGGTGCGCTTCGTCCCGTCCCTTGGTGCAGCGCAGCGCATGACATTTTGTGAGGCTCACAGGGTTACCATGGCTTGAGATGTACCTGTAGAGCGCACACAGTTGTATTGGTCGTTTTATAATACTCGAGATACGAGCGCTATTAAGTGGCCCAATGAGGGGATTGGAGACGCTAGTGAGGGTCGAGGTGTCCAACGGGTGGCTCTCTAGAATGAAATTGGGTGCAGGTATTGGTCTAGTTGACATTTCATGGCTACTCACTCGGCCAATTGGGCTTCTAATAGGAGTTATTGGTTCTCGCTTAACTTAATTACTCGTGGTTAAAGGGGATAATGTTGGTTCTCCTTTGTTTTAACTGATCTACTGGTGCTACCGTAAAACTACAGTCATAGTCTACAGATATCAGAATCCATTATGATATCAGCAATCCTGTCATGAGGATAATAGACCCCCTCCATCCCTCCATCGCCCATTACGGTAATCTATCGCACCATCTATTCCCGTCTCACAAAAGTACGGACCCGATAGCCTTCAAAAAGTCTCCTGTTAATCTCCTTCACCAAGTGATCAGAGTTCCACATCGAATCAGCGCAATGGCTTCTGTGATCGAATAGCGCTCACGAGGTAACAATCCACCACCATCACATGCAAATTGTCTCTCTCAGACACGCATAAAATCCTTAGCTGACTTGAGTGGTACAAGTACAGTACGAGTACTCGAGCACAGTGCTGTACAGTACATGAACCCAACTCAATACCTGTAACCATGTGGCAAGCATCAAACGGGAGCCTTGCCTGTCCACACCACTACCCACTCGAGTATGCAAAAAAAACCTCCCTCCCGATTCGGGATGCGCAGTCCTTTTGTTCCCTCTACAATTTCGGCACCACGGAATTTCCCGCTACCACGCTGCCGGGCGAATCATGGTACATGCGTGAGAAGTCTGATAAATTTGTAGCACTATTAGTCACACGGTGCTGCACTCGCGGGCCTTGGTAGGGCGGAAATTAGGTATAGTAACTGGAGAGACTCCGAGAGAGCTCAAGGGGGATGATATGAAAAAAGGGGCGGGACAGTATGATGTACAGTACTACTCGAATCACCCGCCTCCAGCGTATTTGGTCAATCGATCCCTTTCCGGCATCGTGCAGCGAAGACTGGAAGGTTGTAATATAAGGAAAACTATAAACATATCAAGTGCCCCCATCTTTCCACCACTACCGACTTCGTCAAGACTACCATTGGTTTTTGTTTAGCTGGGGCGTCTCACACAATTTCTACACATTCTCTTTCTCTCTTTCCTTTACGATGCTTCCAAGTGCCATACTCACGCTGCTGGCAGTTTTTGCTGCCGGGGTTGTGGGTTCCCCAACCGGAATTCCACAGGACGACGTAGACCGGGATCGTACTATTGAAGAACTCTTGGCCATGGACGCTGACCTCGTTGAGAATGATATCGAGACTTTTTCACCCAAGGCCAGTGCTCGTAGTACGTTTCTAATATACCTACCCCTCCTCACTTTCAAAACCCATGGTTAACAATCCGCCTGACAGCTATCAGCGAGTCAGAACTAGCCACAGTGTACTATTACGCTGAATTCGCAGCCGCAGCGTACTGTGATCCTGACCATGTTCCCGGAACGGAAGCAAGCTGCAAGAACAACATCTGCCCCCAGGTTACCGCGAATAGCGTTACCACCATCATTGAATTCGCAGAGTACTTCCCCCCCCCCTCGCCCCCATTCCCTCCCGCCTCAGAGGTGATCAATGCTAACGGAAATAAAAATAAAAAGCACTACTTCCTCCGACACAACCGGCATAGTGGCCCGCGACGACACCAGACGAACTATAACCGTTTCCTACCGCGGCACACAGTCCTTAGGGAACTGGTTCGCGAACGTCCAGATCCGCTGGAGTGATGCTTCGGTTTACTGCTCAAGCTGCAAGCTCCACACCGGTTTCTACAATGCATTCAGAGACGCGTTCCCACCCATCCTCGCATCAATAAACTCGCTGCGCGCCCAGTACCCTTCCTATAAGCTCGTTGTCACAGGACATTCTTTCGGCGGCGCGCTGGCTACCATCACCGCTACGGAGTTCAGGAGATTGGGGTATACCACGGAGCTGTACACTTATGGTGCTCCCAGGGTCGGCAATGATAAGTTTTGCTTGTTTGTTAGCCAAAGTTCGGGGAATTATAGGGTTACGCATTTGAGTATTACCCCCCTCCCCCATCCTAGTGTAGTTTGTTGCGGCGGCGGTTCCTGACATAATTGCTGTACGAAAAACCAGATGATCCTGTACCGAGATTGCCGCCTGTGGCTCTGGGATACTATCATATCTCCACGGAGTACTGGATTTCCCGCGGGGACACCAACATCAAGGCCGGCGACGTAGAGATCTACGAAGGCATCTTGAACACCGGAGGAAACACGGGGCAAAGCTTTATTCCCCCCAATATCACTGCGCACCCGGGATACTTCCTCCCCGTCGGGATTTCTGGCTGTGGGTCTTCGTGGGACTTTGATTTCTTCTAAGTTAAAAGGGCAAGTTAGCTTGTGAAGCGTGATCTGGGATTATGCCGGGGATTGGGGGGGCAGGATATTTCTCCTTCTTCCTTCCTTCCTTCACATCATAATAATTATCGTAAATTTTCGTTATTAAACTTTGTAACCTTCATAGGGCATTGCCGTATAGTGTTTCGCGGGATCGGATTCAGGTGGATTGGGGTCTGGTTGTGGGAAATCAGTTATACGATAATACATAATTATTATTATTATGATAATACATAATTATTATTATTATTATGATAATAATAATTATTATTATTATGATAATAATAATTATTATTATTATGATAATAATAATTACATACGTCGGGGAGAAAAAGAAGGTTGTGTCTACCCTTCACAAAGCATGATTCGGTTCGTAGAGCGAATGAGCGATGCGATTTGCCCCTTAATTTTTAGCATCATATGGAGAGGGAGCGCTGCTGACGCGTAGAGCCTAATAAGAGCGCTGCAGTCTTTGCTCTGATACTAGGCATTATAGATTATGAGGAATGTATCTGATATCGCTACCCTAGAGCCTGCCGGTAGTAGACCATTATTACAAGTATCATTATTATACTACCGGACGAACACACCTTTTCGAGCGCCTGCAATTTACAGTAATCCTTGCGACTTGCGACTTTTACGGTGGTATCTTTGCTGCGCCCGCGTCATCTCCCCCACAATGGCATGGCCCGAGGCCGCGAGAGTGAGAGTTGGTGATACATTTAAGTTGGTCTGTTGCAACCTTGCAAGGGCTTTGAAGGTGTCCCCCGCCGGAGCGATCCCGACCAAGCAGGTTGAAAGGACTTATCGTACACCCCCCCCCCGCGACCCACAGACTGCGGTAGAAAAGGGAAGAAAAAAATCCGGAAAATAGGGGTTAGAAATACGGAAGTCGATAGGCTCGAGATACCAAGCGCTCCAATCAGGATTCCGGAATCCCATGTCTCATTTTCCGATCTCTTGGGACGTCGCAAGGATTCGGGGACTCCCGAGCACGCTGCAATGACCTACCTATGGTAGGTTTGCAACAACTCTTGTGCAACTTTTTGGGAGGAGGCAGTGTCTATTCAGCCCAGAGACAGGCCCTGGAGCTTTTTGCTGTTTTATCAATTTTTTGGTTGTAGCTTGGTTACGCAAACATCAAGCTTTTAGGCCCTTATTCATGGCATAAAACTTCCTATAAGCCCCTCACGCACCGCTGAGAACACACATCTCTTCATCCCTATACGATATACTGTAAGTGAACATTAGAACCCTTCCCCCCCCCCTCCTTCCTTTTCGAGGGGATACCCACGATAACGTAGGGGATGCTGGTGGAAATTTCCACCAGTCTCATAAGGAAACCAGTAAACCAATCACCTTTAGCCATCCATAACAGTAAAAACAATAGAAATGAGAAAACGGCTTGCCTTGCACCGCCTTATGAGCGAACAAAAAAGGAAACTGGGGTAAAAAGGGGGGAGCCCCCTTTAAAAGTCTCGCCCGATATCTCCTCCATCAAAATCCGCACCAAAGCCCGCACCATCTTCAAATTCCTCTTGGTAGTCGTTGCCAAACGCTTCCCCAAGTAGTATCCCACCTAGCAACCCACGCGGCGCTTCCAGGACCCACCCCACCACTACCACCCGTTCTCCTTCATCTGCCTTCTCCATACGGCATAGGATACCTACCGGTAGGGCCCAAATGGTTCGGATAATATCGCTGCTGAGCTAAAGATGAACGCCTAGTGTAGCACTACCGGTACTGGGGGCTAGGCCCCGACGAATTAGAATACGGGCGCAGGAACCCCGGGAGTGCGCTCCCGAGCCTCCAGTGCGACTTGCGCTGGCCGGGGCCGTCCGCAGAGAAGTTTCCGCGCGGACGTGCGGGGATGCGAGGGGCTTGATGCGGGGCCTTGGTGCGGGAGTAGTGGTGGGAGCTGGATGGCCGAGGGTCTGTCGCCTGCCCGTTGAGGGTGTCGGTGAACTTGAGTTGGCTTGGCGCTGCTTGTAGGCGGGGGGTTTGTCTGTTCTCGTGATAATATTAGCTTTTATTTCTCTTTCCTGTTCAGGTGAGGGGGCGGGTATTGTATAATAGTGCCTTGGCCTGAACCTGGCCCCGCTGGTTTCAATAGTTCCCTCCTCCAGCTTCTCCCACCATGGCCGCTTCATTAATAAATTGACATAGTACCACCGTCGTTACCTATAACCCCACCTCACAGTCCACTCCTCCGGCACTCCTGGTGGTCATAGTGCACAGTACCTAAATCATCCCCGCCAATCTTGCTCTCCCGCTTGCAACATACAGTAGTAAGGGGAGCAACGGACAGAACGGGATGGCGAACGATACGCCAAAAATCTAGTAGCAAACACCAACTTTGGTAAGGATGTTCGCTGTACTGTACCCCTCCTGTCCGTTGTTCCCCCCCTGATGTCCTTAATCGTGAGTAGTATTCGGGCTCATCTCGAACGAAATCGGATGTGGCCAAAGAAAATTCTTTGGGCACGATATGAACAATTTCCGAGGGAAACAACTTCTGGCGTAATGTGCTGTAATTTATGGTATAACACTGCGAGTCTAATACAGTATCATACGCCCCTTCCACGGTCTTTGTGCCCGGGCCGCCGGGCTGGAGTTGCGTTCTTTTAGTGATGAGTACTGTACCAAAAGAAGCGCAGCTCCAATCCGGTAGCATAAATACCAGTGTTGTACAAAGGAAGGGGAAGAACCAAGGATGTGCTTGAGTGTGATACCAGTAGAGAAACTTAGGGCACCGGTATTGAAAGGATCGGTTGTGTTGAAGTGTTGGGAAATGAGGTTCTTAGCCCCAAGGCCCTTGGTGACAATGAATTGATCCACCATCGCGAAGGCATTACCAGCTAGCTGTTTATCGTGCATCCCCTATCATAGACTGCACCCTCAGCGCTGTAGACCGCCCCGGTGGCATTGGCGATAAATGGACTGTCGTGGTTTATCAATCGCATTCAAGACAAAATCCTCTGAAACAACTCTTTCAATACAACCCTCGCTTGCAGAGCCAGGTTGGTAGACCACCACCGTGCCCCCCCCCAGCATACTGTAGAACGCAAAAGCCCCCAGGTGAGCTATTATAATCTCACTCTGCCAGAAAACTCACTCTGCTGTACTCGTACGGTGCTTGTGCAGTACTTCGGCCCCTCCTTCTATTCGGGTTCCATACATTCTCCCTCCCTGTTTTTGTTACGCTGCAAACAAGGATTCTGGAAACGCCTTTTTCTCTCCAAAAGCTAGGCCCTCATTTGACCTTTTCCTAGTACCAGTACTTGCACAGTACTTGGAGTCACTTGGCACTTTTTTAACTTTGTTTTTTTTCTTTTCGAAAAATCCCAATTTCATTTCAGCCCAAAATTTGTATTTTTTCGGATAAAAAATAGGTCCTAGCCAGATCTGTATTAACTCGGCACATCCCGTTATCGAATGTCGCAATTGTATGTGGGGTAGTCTACCGGGATGCACAGTAGATCGAGACCGTTAGGCAGCAAATCTTTGTCCGTCACGGAATATCACACGAATATTGGTTTTCTGCTGCGGGCTGACGAGAGAGGTAGCAATGGATCCGCCAGTCTTCCCTATGTGCCCGCCGCATTTTTGGTATAGTAGGAAGAGAGGCGGTGAATTCTGAGAGGATTTACCGCGGGAGACCGAGGCTGATATCGTTACCCGTTACGCACCCGACACCAACTCGTGAAGTCTTGGCTGCAGCGAACCATCCAGAAACGCGCCATCCCGCCATTCCCACTGCCAGCAAAGAATCAACGGACAACCGCCCAGGACATATATATAACTCCCCACCGGAGATACTTCCCCTTCTTTCCTTTCTCTCACCATTTCCTTCACCAAAAGTCAACGCCTCACACTCTCGCCTTCCTGCGATCATAAACATCATCATGTCCGCCGAGCGTCCGCCAGTAACTTGCCACGTCCTCGACACTTCCGTCGGTAAGCCGGCGGCAAATATCCAGTGCACGTTATCCCGGTTCTTGAAGTCGGCCGATGGCTCCCCGTCTAGTTCCTGCTTTGAAGTGGCGAAGGCATCGACCAACGAGGATGGGAGGGTCGCAGCGTGGGAGATGAGGCAGAAGGGGGTCGCGGGGAAGTTGGTGCTCGAAGAGGGATTCACCTACAAGATTAGGTTCGAGACTTGGGAGCATTTCAAGGGGGAAACATTCTTTCCGTATGTTGAGGTGGTGTTTACGGTCAAGGAGATAAACCAGCATTATCATATTCCCCTATTGTTGAGTCCTTATGCGTATAGTACGTATCGGGGGTCATGAGTTGGGTTTCCACGGTAGAAATATTGGGATTTGGTACTGGGAGCAATGCAGGAATAGGCGGGTGGGTAATGTTTGCTTATACGGTCATATTGGGAGAATAAAGCGCTATTTTTACAAAAAGATGATCTGTCTGTGCATGGTAAACGCTACAAGCCAAGCATAACTCGGATCTTTAAGATCCCCCTTTAGCCCCAACCTTCTTCAAAGAATTGTAGTGCTCCCCAAGTCCAAAACTATGCCTATAATACCCCAGCCAGACCTCCCCCTCCGCTCCCCCTTCGTTCATCTTCTCAACCCCACGTCCCTCCGCCTGCACAATATTAACAACAACCCCGAAAGCCTTCGCTAGGGCCAAAACTTCTGCCTGACCCCCCCACTCCGCCGTCTCTCTGACCTTCCGGACATGCTCCTCGATTGGCTCCTCAAGGAAGGGTTCAAACTCGTCCCTGTGCGCGAGCATGTACTCCGCACACTTCTCTCTAGTAGTTTTGTAGTCCGAAGGCATAGGGAGCTGGTCTGCAAACGCAGAGTAGAGGCAGTGCCCATCGGGAGCGATCTCTTTCTCGCCTAGGTGTAGGTTTCTGAGGAGGGTTTGCATCGCTGCCATCTCGGCTTGTCGGGGGTTTGGGAGAGCACTGGCTTCGGCTTCGGCTTCTGCGCTTAAAGCTGCGGCTTCGGCTGCGCGGCGGGCTAGTCTGGCTTTTTGGCGATTAGGTTTTTTTGGACCGACCGAGGATTGTTGTGGAGTACCTTCGGAGGCAATGGTATTTGTTGGGGTATCAGTTATTGTATTTGATTTTTCCTCTAGTTCTTCCGTATCCTCTTCTTTCCCCTGGCCTTGCGGTTTGCTTTCCGGAACTTCTGGAGCCTCTATAAATTCACCGTTAGGATTTCCCAAAGCGGCAATTTCCCGGGAGTGCCGGTCTTTCAATTCATGCTCCAAAGACTCGCATTCCGAATTAATCCCCCGACGCGTCTTCTTTGTAGCGTTTTTCTTCTTCTGTATTATCCGTGCTGTTAACTCTCGAATCTCCTTTCGATGGCGTGCAAGCATTTCTTCCCTATTTGCTTCTGACATTTTGTTCGGAGGTGTTTGCGCGAAGATGAAGATGATGAGGGGTTGTTTGCGTGTTGCTACTGGTAGTCATTGTAGAGTACTGTACCCTAGGGGTCTGTTTGGCAACGCTGGAACCGTTTCGTTCTACGACCGTTTCCCATATGGAACGCTTGTTCTTCCTTTTTAAAACGGTCACTTTGTATGGGGCAACGGAATGGAATAGTTGTATCATATATCATCTAGATAGGTCCTAAGGAACATTGAAGCAAAATACTACTGAAGTCTTGCTACTCGAGTAACGGGAAAAATAAACAACCCTAACCCAACTCCGCTTTATCCCGCCTTCCAAGCTATGATACTGGCATCATGAGAGCAACAGCTGATTGCTCAATCTGCCGTGAGCCACTACGCACGAACCAGACCAAAACGAAAATGGTATTGTTCCTAAACCTCGACTCCTCAAAACCCCCGCTTTACGATAACTCCCACGACGACTGCCAGTCAATACGGGCCATACAGTGGCATGCTCGAGCGGTACCGGCAGCAGAATCTCAGCCAAACCCCAACACCACCCACCCATTTACAACCCTCCTATCATCATACCCACTCTTGATATCCCTAGTGAAACACTTAGACCTCAACGACCTCGCAACCCTAAGCACCACCTGCCACCCCTTCAGGTCCCTCCTCCTCTCGCAACGCGAAAACCTGACCTCCACATCGCTAGTATGCAAGAACTCCAGCTGGAAATTTCGCAGATGTGTTAAAGACTTGGTGAATGAATGTAGGGGGTGTCTGGAACCTATTTGCCGCGTATGATCCCCCCTTCTCTCTGCCTTATAAGAGTGATAATGCTAATGGGGAACTGGAGTAGAATTGCGCACGAAGACCGAATTCGTGGATATCATCTTTGCGATTACGCCGCTTGTGCTCGAATCATAGGGTATGCTCGCTGCAGGGGTCCGACAAGGTGTGTGATTGTGCCGAAATGTGGTTGTGTGCTGAGTGCTCGGGGATGCCACTGAAAAGGATGTTTGTTACGACGGCGGAGTTGGTTGATGGGGAGAAGGGGTGCCTGTTTGGGAGGCGGAATGGTTATGTGGGGTGTACTGATGATGGTGGGGGGAGTGGGTGCATGGTGGGGGAGGGAAGGGCTATTGAGCTCCCGTTGAAGTTGGAGAAGGCGGGGGTTTTCAGGGGGTGGTGTAATTGGTGTGAGGGGGTAGTGCTGACGGCGGAGGATAGGGCGGTTCTGGAGAAGGAGGTGAACGGGTGAATGAGGGAGCATTGGCTGGTGAGGGGCGGGGGCATTTTTTGTTGTATCCGTAGTGGGTTGTGTATGGTCACGTCTGGGATAGAAGATAATATGCTCTAGAGAAGAGCTCAACCCACAATTACTTGCTATCGGCACGATAATGGTGTTATATAACTGACCTACAGCCATATTTTGAAATAGCCGAGCTCATCAAACCCCTCCTCCCGGTACCTGGACTGCCTTGCGGGTACCCCCCAAATGTACTCACGCCTCCGGGAAATACCCCAGATTCCACCGCCCCACACAATCAAATAACTCCCCAACATCACTACGGCAGGTAAGGGCGGGCCCGATCGTAACACGACGAAAGCCCGAGACAAACCCCCTAAGTCTGTAGAGAGAATTGGTTTGCGTAATATAGTTGACCAGCGCTTTTTCATATCGTAGGTCAACAAGGTCTCAAGGTATGATGGGAGCGCTGTTGTAAATTTCTATCTAACGGGAGGGCTGCGGGGCTCTGGTCTGGCGCACATAGCCCACTAGATTTCGGCGCGGGAGCCTAGTGTCACGAAACGCCCTATTGCGGGAAGAGTTCGGCACTTGTGATGAGCCCCGTTTTGTTGTGAGAGCAAGTGGTCCGGTCAGTGGTTTGTAGAACAAGTCCTAAATTGCCTCCATCAGGACAGTTTGTTTTGGTTGAGATTCTAATACTGGGGGTCCCTAACGGAAGGACGCAGCTTGAGGGGCAAAGGAATTAGAAACAAAGTAGCGACCGGAGGGCGATATACCAGAATATCTACTATGATATCACCGCCAGCAACCGAGAGAATATTCTGCAGGAACTGCTTATTATATATGATATACATAATGTTTGTTTAAACTATGATACAGAAAAGAGCTCGGGTCCTCCTAGCTCACACCATGTGGAGCTGTCAGAATTCGTAACCCTATACCCAATTTTGTAAAAGGTCAAACCATTATTCCTATCATAGTTGTTGCGGGCAACTGTTTGTACGATATCATAATTCAGATCATCCAAACAGTCTCTAGGTTACCTAGTGGTGGTCTTGAGATTTTTTTTATAAGCCTGGCGTTTTCTCTGGACTGCCATTTATTGATGTATTTTATTCTTAGCTTGATGTATGATACTATACTTGGAATTGGCGGTTGATCGTTTGCCAACTTGGTAACTTACTACCAGATTGTGGGATACCGGTAGGATCGTGGCCCACGCTCTTTAGTGAAAAGATCCCAATCGCTCCCACTATTCCTTACTCATGAAATTTGAATCTCACTTTACTTTGATTGTTAGTTTATCCATGTATCTCTATTCTCTTTCCTTTTTAATCCGCTTTTGACTTTTCTCTTTTTATATCATTATTGAAAAAGGAAGAAAGAGGAAGAAAATGCAAGTTGGAATTGTTCAATCTACACTCTTTGTAAGGCATTATATTTTCATGAAATTACTTTATTGTCAAAGAAGCTTTAACCACTTTGATCATTAGGTGAGCGATCCAGTCCAACACTCCTGTCGTACATCACTAGTTTGGTAGGGGGGGAAGTGCAGTAGATATAGCGAGTGATGAGGAATGATCACTGAATGACGATTGTTTAGATATCATGTCGGGAGAGGTTTCAGAGGCTCGGTGTGCGCAATAGCGCTAGAATTAATTCATTTGGCTGGCTTTGCCAGTAGGTGGGTGATGTGCGGCGGAGATTCGTCTAGAAAAATGGGTAACTAGATTGAAGTGCTAGAGCTTTGACAAGAGGAAGAATAGATAAAAGGAAGGACTCTCTTTCCCGCAATAGCTATTACTTTCAGCCTAGAGGGGAGATCTTCTACTTATGTCGATTATTTGGCAGTAGTTATCAAAACCCTGGATCGATTTAGTGGGCTAGGCTACGAGGGGATATAATATTATGGTATCAAACCTTGTTTATTTATCGCCCTCTACTGATGGGGGAACAGACCATTCTGTTCCAACGTTATATTAAAAGCGCCCAAGCGGTGATTCTCCGAACTATGGAAACTCTGTTCGGCGGGTGTGGTCTGATGGGTTCGGTATGGTCTCGTTGGGCTCGAATGGAGTCCTGGCAACCCTCTCATGTCTGCATTCGTATCATAATCAAATTTGACTGGCGTCATCAGCACTGCAGAGATCTCTCTTTTCCGACAGAAATTTTATTATCCCCCCATGCATACTCAGCAGCTCGCGGTAGCGGCGTTCGGCCACTATTATCAATAACATGGGGGTGGGGTCCTCCCTTTCCAATGGCGTCTTGGCATGGTTCCAACATGCCCCTCTCCGATAGCTCACGGGATTGGAGTTCGGTCAGTGTTGTCTGTTATCTTGGGGTTAATATTCTTCCGTTCCAATAGCGTCTTCATAGCTAGCCCGTGCGAAAATTTAGCCCGACAAGATTATATAACCAAATTTAATGTCCTTTATAGGGACTACCAGCCACTGTCTCTAATAGCATGTCCACAGCTCCCGCGTGCCCACCGCCGGCGCGAAGGCTTGTTGGAGGTGCTAAGAGGGGGAGTATCAAACATGAGCGGAAAAGAATCTACTGCCGTATCTGACGATGGCATAAATTTTCTCTTCAATGCTAAGCTGCTTTAGTTGCTGTTGCTGCTTGCAAATACCTTCTTTAAATCCAGTTATCATACTTGGAAGTTATTTCTCTATGCGCTGGGTGAATGAGAACATTATTTACCCGTAGTGGAGCAATGTCATCCCATGCTCAGTGAATGGGACTATGACCCCCATTCCCGCAATATATTACTCAATTTGTACGGCCAAACACCATTGCTGCTCTAGTTGCCACCTTCAAAAGTTAGACTTTAGTTCCAGAATGCCCCTGCCGTCCGTCCGCTAGGCCACCCTATCATATTGCCGTTTTTTTGACTAATATTCTACAAAAGCATGAATAGGGACTAAGAGTGGATTAAATCCAAGTAAAAGGGAAAAAGGTGTTTTTTTTATATTGAGCAGCAAGCGTTCGACATAATTAGACTATCATAGCATATCCCGTGACCCACCCACCCACCCACATCCCATGACAAAGTAACTAACTAACTAAGCAATAAACCTGCGGAATACCGTCTCGAGTGTCGAACGCAAGCAGAAGGACATCAACCCCAGCTCAAGAAAGTAAAAAGTGGAGGCGGGCAATCTGCAGGCCAAAGTTTAGTTTCAAAGCTCCAATGTGATGGATAGTTAGATAGCGCACCGGCTCTGGGCTGTTCCAGTCCATGATTTCCTCCCAGTCGAAATTGTCTTCGGCCAAATCAGGAATGTGAGCAAAGATTTCGGGCTGTAGTAAACAGCTGTTAGCTTCCACAAATATAGGTAATTATAATGTAGGGGACTTGAGTATATACTCCAATCTTCAAACCAAGCAAGTCTTCCAACTCAATGGCTGGTGCGTCCATCCATTCTTCCCAGGAGTCTTCGCTTTGATCATCTTGGTTAGTCATTGTCGCCATAAATTCGTCTCTCTGAGTCTCTTTGGAGACTTCCTTATCAACTGCTGCAACCGCACCCTCAACGGCAGCATCTCCTTGAGCCATCTCCATCTCATCACTGTTGTTATGTTCTTCAACAGCCACCAATCCCCCTTTCTTTTTATAGTTATTTCTAACCCCAATGCTCAAGGCTCGCACAACTTGATGAACGGCCTTATAAATCCTATCGTATCACACCAAATCAGCCTATCCAAAAACTTCTCAGGGGACCCCAAACATTGGATAGGGGAAAATCAGCTAGTTGGAAAAAAACATACCCAACGTGATCCTCTGGCCAAACCAATCCTTTGCCCCTACCACCCGGGAAGAACTTAGGTCCAATCTCTTCAAGTGCGTTGTTGATCCATTGACGATAAACCCTCTTGTTGTCGCCGGTGTCCAAACGCTTACATTCCAACGGGGGGGTACCGGGAAGAAGGATGGACTTGATGTAGACCTTGAGCTCATAGTACTTCTCGGGGGTCATGCTGATTTCGATGATGTGCTTGGGAGTTTTGGCGGTTTTGATAGTTTTGGGAGAGTTTTTTGCCATTTTTTCGGTTCTTGTTAGATAGTCGTATTTTTTTTTTTTGGATGGCAGTTGTTTGTGGATGGAATAGTAGTGTTGTCTGTGAAGGAAAGCTCTTAGTCAAGAGAGCGCTTTACATTGGGCAGAGCGCTGGTATAGTAAAGTTTGAGGAGTTAGGGTTTATCATTAGCTGCCGAATCTTTTCCGAGCTATAGGGTGAGCTAAACATCTGGTAAGGACGCCCCGTATCATAAGTAATATATTTCCACTGTCTCGGAAGGCAATCAGCTACCATAATATTATGATACTGAAACTACGGTTGAAGCAAGTTGCCTATATCTTGACATCTCTTGGATACACATCTCCGGAGAAATTATTGCCCAAAACTCTTCATTTTCCAGATGGGGCATTTTAATCAACTCTTTTAACATTCTCCCAGCTACAACCGTGCATGCAGCCGCCTGGCATAGGGAAATATCTTCATGATGTATCATGGAATAGAAAGTATGGAGGCCCCTGGTGGCCAGCTTCTCCCGTGAACGGCACCGACACCATACAATATAATTTCACTACCCTAATTGACCTATCCAGTGACCGATTCAATGAAATATGACACCCGGGCTGCCGGACTACCAACTCACAGCTGCTTATAAAGACAAAACAAACATCGATGGGGGAACATCACTAACTCTCACGAAACTAATCGCCAATTTTCAACTTGCTATCTTCAATTCGCTAGCTTGTGTTCCAAGATATGACACCCTTGTCATCTGCGCCTCCGCCGATTGAGATCCTGTGACGCGGTGCGGAGCTGCAGTACCGGGGGGGTAACTCAAGTACTGTACTCGTAATTTTCTGACGTTTGTAAAAACGACCGGGTCCACATGATCCTGCATATGCAGCCAAGAAAATGTGCAGGAGACCTACATGAGCAGGAAGGGAAGTACCTTTTAGAAACACGAAATAGCTTCTTGAAAGGGTTCAGGGGCAAGAGCTGCTAGGAGGAGGAGATTCTGAAGAGGGTCCCAAGAAATAGAATCATAGAATGGTCGCTCGGCAGTAGGCTGGCAGTAAATTACTGTACAATATATAGATAGAAAATAGAAATGAAAACAAATTATAAAACTAATGGTTAAAGGAATTACCACCACCATCAGTAATACATGCCTCTATCCGGTTCTGCATAGACATAATATGCTGATTTATCCTCTCCATAGGATACCGGAGCCATTCCTCCTCCACAACCATCCAAATCCCAGTAGCAGTAACCCGAATTCCTAATTGTGCCTTAATACTATCCTTTATCTCACACCAGATCGTCTCGATTGTGTTGAGATCTGGGGAGTTTGCTGGCCGTTCCAGCTTCTGAAATCCAAGCTGCTGGCATGTGCGGTCATGATAATGGTGGATATGCGCTGGCACATTATCCTCCATTATCACCACCCCAGGGCGGGCAGCCTGGACCAAGGTCATAAAAGGATAAAGGAGGGGGCTTAGAATACATTTACGATATATGAATCAATCTATGCCCCCTCTCCTATCCTTTCCTCATTCTTTCATCTCCAGTAGAGGTCTTGGGTTCTCAACACCAAGGTTGATGAGGTTATATCTTTCAACCTCAGTATTTTCTTCTTCCTACTCTCAGTAGAGCTGGAGAAGAGCGGCAGCCTTCTGGTATTTCAACTCGTATAGAGTCACATACATATAATACTAGTATGGAAGTTCCGCCTCTGTATATATTGTAGATTAGTATTAAAACATGTAAATAAATTAAATAAAATGAATGAATTTACCTGACTTTCTGTACACTACAGCTCCCCAGAACATTACAGTAGCTTCCTGTGCAAACTTTTGGTTTATATTTTGCAGGAGGTAGACCTCACCAGGTTGCTGTAGAACTCTACTAGTCTGACATTGATGTAGAGCCCCTGTTTCAAAGTACGATTCATTGGTAAATACAACCTCTGCCCAGTTCTGGTACCGGTACTGCAAGCAGAATGCTAATTAAGTATCCTTGTGCTTCTGGGAAAGGGTAGGTTTTTCTGTTGCCTTTTGCCGATGGATATTGTTCTCTGCAAGAACCCTTTTCACCATTAGATTACAAATATCTAGGCCAGCTTTTTAATTAATATTTATTAACTTTATGTACATATTATAATAGATTAACTAGCTATAGTAAAATCTCAATTGTATAAAAGTATTCTTCTACCTGTGTAGGCAAGTTGCTCAAATGTCGTATGATAATACTCACTATCTGAGAGTGCTACCTCAACCAAGTGCATTTTTTGATCAGCTGTGAGGGCAGTATTGCATCCCTTCTGGTTGTTAGGCTTGGCAGCCAGATTAACTGGAATACAAAGATTAGGATTTCTACTTGGTTCCACTGCTCAACATTTTGCCTCCTAGATAATATTAGAACGTGTACTGAGAAGGACACCTGTTTTGGCTGCAATTTGAGTTAAGGTTACCTTACGGTGACCTCTCATAGTTGAATAGCCTACAATTTAGGCTCTCTTCGCCATTGAGATTGTTGACCCTTGTGGAACAAAAGGCATCTTGAAAAAAAAATTTTGAGAGAGAAAATACAAATTGATGCCGAACAATTGAATTACACCAAGTACAGCACAGAAGCAATTTCTAAGGATGGGTACTTGTGGGTACTGGGTATCTGGGTTACAATTGTAGCTTTTGTGCCTTGTTACTATCAATCCTATTGGGCTATCCTGCATGTCTTGGCTTATGCGGGATCATGCGGACCCGGTCATTTTTACAAACGTCAGAAAATTACGAGTAGTGGAGATGCTGGACCCCTTCCTGGATCGGCCCCTAAATATTTGATCGGTATAAGAAATACTGCTAGTAGTGGCGGAATTTTCGGTAGTATGATAATGCTGTTGGATAAAATGAGAATAAGTCCTTTGGTGCTACGACCTTCCGCCCAATACTCGAGTAGTTTGTACGGTAATACTACCCGTAGTACTCGTTTGCATAGCATGATATTCCAAGGAAATCATCTCTACGAGTATGATAGGTATGACTCGTTACATGTGAGTGTCACATGACCAATACACTCCTAGAGCAAACAGGATGAGATACTATTTCCAACAGTAGGGTTTCTTGATGTATTGTTTTGGAAATATATTTTGTATATTATCTCCTGTCTGTCCATCCCAGTCGATCGCTTAGTTCGCCATCTCTCGTATTCAGTTGCGCTTGACCTGGAGTGATTTCACTCTTACCACTTCCTCCTTTAGCCCCTATCCGTAGTCTTATTGTGACCATATGATAGGAAAACAAAAAACTTTTATTAGAATCTGATGGTAGAGTGACCTATCTTCAGCGCGAGGGAGAATGCATAAATATGTCATGTAACTTATTGGCGGAGGTTCGAGCATGGCATTTGCGACAGTAATAAGTTACATTAATTCATGACTACCTAACTCATAATAAAGACAAAGAGAATGAGAAATTGGCACTCGTTTAAATTTAAATCTACCCACCCAGTCCTCAATCAGCCGCCCGGCAGAAACCAACCAGAAAGAAAAGCCCCCTTCACAAAGCACAAAAGAGATTATTAATAATAACTTCATACCTTCATTCACCCTCGTGCTTGCTCCCTCCGGCTCACTCAGAAAAGGGAAACAAACACACCGCTTAGCAAATTCACACCCCTAGAGCTACCCGAACTGCCGACGCCACAGCCTCCCTATCCCCCTCCGGATAAAGCTTCTGGACCGCCTCTTTGGCCTTTGAAACCATGAATTCCCACTCCTCCAACAACTCCGGGAACTTCTCCTCCAGCGCAACGATAATCGCTACCGTCGTGAGAAAGTCCGCGTCCGCGTGCGCGTTTTCTAACCTGCTGTTTCGCAAGCCAAGCCAAGCCAATATCCTCCCGTCCGCTTTGAACATCCCATTGGATTGCGGGAGGCTGGCTAGGTCGGAGACTAGGTTGTGCGAACCTTCTGGAATCCACTGCGATTCCTGCTGCTGATAGTGCTGTGCCGGAGGGAATGATGATTGGTGGTTGAATTCGGGGCCGGGCGTGAGTGGGTCAAGGTCAAAGTTGCCCAGAGGGTCTTGTGCGATGTAGTAAACTTGGGATTGGAGTGCAGGACTGTGCGATTGGGGGGTCGCGGTACAGGAGTCTTGCGGGGTGCAGACAACTTGGGGTGGGAGAGTTGGGGAATTAGAGTCTTCCACCGTAGGGTAAACTTGGGGTCGTGGTGCGGGGCTGTACGATGGGAACGCCGCGGGGTGAGAGCCCTTCGCGGCGTAGCAAACCCGGGGCCGGGGCGCAGGACCGCGCGACGGGGAGGCCATTGGACGAGCGTCCTGTGCGGTGTAGCGGGCTTGGGTTCGGGGTGTGGGACTGTGCGATGGGGAGGCCGGAGGATGAGAACCCGGCGCGGCGCAGCAAGCACGGGGTCGGGGCGCCGGACCGCGCGACGGGGATGCCGGGGAACAAGAGCCCTGTGAGGAGTAGCGAGCTTGGCGTGGGGATGTGGGACTGCACGATGTGGAGGTCACAGAATGTCGTGCCGTGGCGGACCGCGGCGAGGCAGGAGCCGGTGCTTGTGAGGCGGGGAGTGTTCCTAGCGGGGAGGAGGGTTTATGCCCTAGCAACGAAGGGCTGGACACTAGAGATGGGCTAGAGATCGGGGATGAGAAGTCTTGCTCGCCAACGGGCGGTGCAAGGAGAGCTGCGGTTTCCGTAATCAGGTTTAGGCCTTCTCTATCTTGTGAGATCGGTTTGGATGAGGACCTTCTCTGGTGGGCCTGTACTGGCTTGCTGCTCGGTTTCGGTGCTGCGCCGAAGGATCTACCTCCTATCCTTGCTCCCCCGACAAGGTGTCCGGAAGCTCCGCCCGGCTGCGTAGAGGCCTTGGGCGAAGGCGGTGGTGGTGGACCCCTGGAGTAGGCTCCCCTAACGATGCCACCACCAGAGACTTTAGATGGTGCTCTAAAGCCCTCGACCCCTCCTCTGGATAACTGCTGCTGCTGACACGTGTAACCCCGTTCCTGCGGCCTAGGCGAAGCCGAAACACGCTTTGGCGCACGACTGCCCCCTAGAGCCGATTTGGAGTGACTAGTTCGGCGTGAAGGAAAACTTGGGGGTCCAGAGTTGGCGGCTTGTGATTCCCCCTCCTTGGGCGCTTCCGCTCCCCCCCTTCCTGGCTCCCTTGCCCTCCCCCTGTTGATTCGCCCCCTCCAACCGTCCGCCGGGAGAATGAACTTGCGGATCCGGAGTTGGTGGTTTGTGTTTCTCTCTCCATAAGCGCATCTGCCCTCTCCTCTTCTAGCTGATTTCCTTGTTCCCCTGTTGCTTCAATCCCTTCGACAGCTACGAATGAGGTCCACTTGCTAGCCAGCCCAAACTCAAGACCGATCCTCGTTCCTTCTTTCGCGATTAGTTTGGCGTGCTTTGCTGGCTCTTTTGCTTTATCGTAGATGCCTTCGAGGTATGAAGGTCTGCCTTCTTCGAGGTCTTGGAGGAGCTTGCGTCCGGCGTGCTGATAAAGGCCGATTGATGCCCCTGTGGAAGTGATCGCATGTACGGGGATCTCAATTTGAAGTGGACAGATGGTGTTCGAGCTGGTGATATGCGCGAAACCCTTCAGGAAGACCTTTTCCGGTCGGTCGCCGTTGGATATCAAAAAGTAGACCGTTTCCCGGGAGTATGAGAATAGTCCAGGGACGATTGTGGGGGCTTGGATGACCTTTGGTAGCGTGAGAGTGGATGTGCTACTATATGGAGCAAAGGGGGTATTATCTGGGTCGCAGTTTGGGTCGAAGAGGGAAATCGGAGCAATGGTTCTAGGAGCAGAAGCGGTCAGAATCGCACGTTGCTTTTCGGGCTTCCCCGCCCAGCCTATGTCCCAGCCATTGACATGAGGTGTCAATGCTGCCTTCAACATGCGCATGACCTTCTTCTGGAGGCCACTAGCGATGTTGACAATCTGCGAATACCCCTTTCCAGCTCGAGAGATTCCCTCCACGAGGCTATGTGAGACTGTATCCCCAACGCCAAGCGAGAAGAAACGAACATTCCCGTCCTTGGAAGACCCGTTGATAAATTCAAACAAGCTTTCCGCCCCCCAGACTTCTCCGTCGGTAAGGATAAGGATTTCAGCCCTCATATCCTGTCGCCGCGTCTTCACAGCGCCTACCACAGCTTTAAGTATCTCCGTTCCACCCATTTTGGAATCCAAACCCATGACATGAGCCTTCGCCGCGTTCAGAGACACCTCCGAATACTCCTGCGATTGCGGCCAAAGGAACGAATGGTTGGATCCGAAGGAGCAGATATTGAAGTATAAGCCTACAGGCAACGAGGAGAGGAAAAGTTGAAGAGCAGATCGGACCGTGGCAATCTTATTACCCATCGACCCTGACCGGTCAATAACGAATATGATTTCGTGACCTTGCGAGGGAAGGGCAAATTTCGGAACCATTGTGACCATAAGTGTAGATGTATCTTTTAGGGTGGGGTGAGGAGCGAGAAATGCCCCGGGATCGCCGATGTTATTCACCTTGATGAGAAGGGAGAAATCCTTGTCGAGCCCCGTCAGAGACCGAGAGGCAAGAGCAAGCATTGCATGTGCCTTCGCAGGATTGAAGTCTATGTCGGCGCTGGAATGGGATCCAATTCCGATAGAAATGGGATGACTGGGCGAGGTAACACCCCTGATTGGCCCACTCATCGTTGCGGTGATAGAGAGGGAAAGGCCGGCATCCTCCGCATCACCAATATCCTGAACCCTTTGCGAGAAGTTGCCCCAACAAGTCCGCCATCGATTACCGAAAACCAAGCCTGTAGTGGCGGGCCCGTTTCCGTACTTTGGGGCAATGACAGTGGGAATGACGAGTTTGACCCCATCGACCTCAATGCCTTGCTTCAATTCGTGTACATACTTGATGACTACCACCACCAAACCGCCAGCTGGAATGTTTCCGATGCTGGTTGTAAATACCTCACTGGTATCCTGGGAAAACAAAGCAGTGACTCTTCCCGCAGATTTAGCAGCTTCATAGATGGCTTTTGCTTCGGCCCTCTGCTTGACCACTCCACTAATTGTCTTCTCCCCAACCAAAGCCTGGAAGTCCGTGACAGAGGAGGATCCGTAGAGAGGGAATGTATACAGGGCTTCGGAGATGTCCCTAGTTGACGAATTGTTATACACCTGCGTGAGTGAATGGGAGGCGGTGAGATCCACGATGTGAGATTTCAGTGTGGTTGAAATGAGAGGGAGGGACTGCAGGCAGCCACTATCGACATGGGTAACTCGGGTGGTCATGAGGGCGATCAGCGTGGTATTGAGAGTGTGTTTGTTTTTGAAAGACGGCAGATTTACGAAGGGGAATTGAGGGGACTCTATAGAATTTTCTGAAGCCGAAGACGGCCACGAGGTATAATAATTAACGCAAATTATTAAAAAGAAGTGAACTACGACACACCCTAGGTCAAGTTCACGAATAACTTCCGGCGCCAGTAGCAGCTAGGCCAAACACGTTCATCGTAATAATACATTATTATTATACCAAGGCGGGAGCTTAGTAAATTTGGGTTTAAGGCCCACCAATTACTACTGGGGTTATATTACCGGTATATGGCAGTACCATATCATACATAAGTTAAGGGCAAAAGTCCAGAAATAAAAAATCCGTGTGGCAGCCATCATGCCCCTCCATCGAATCCTGCATGCCCAGGAGGAAGCGATACCGCTATCGCAAGCGAAAGTTCGTGGTTTATCGCACCATGAAGGTTGGACTTATGATAATATTATGATACATGGAGAGCCTTGCGCTATCTCCTCTCAGTGCCAGCAGGGTTAGGTTTCCCCCCACCATTGAGTGCGGTAGGTACTCGAGTACTGTGGAGGGAAAAAATTGCGCGATGATTTTTATTCTTAGTATACTATTGCTTTTAGTTAGAGTTTCTGAACATAGTCTGGGTTGGCAAGAGTGTGACTGTTGTGTTTAGTATCGTGGAGGAAAAGTTTTCACAGGACTGCGTTTTTCCACACACCTTGAAGGTATATAAGAGGCTGTGGGAAACACCTTGGGAACGATATTGGCGATTGGTTGAACGAGCAACATCCCCGCATCACTATGACTTGGATTTTTGATTGTGTTTGTTGTTTTATTTCTTGTGCGCTTTAGTTACTTCAAACTCTCTACTCTACATTCCGCTTACAGGCTATACTTGATCCGCCTGAGTGCGTTGCGTGAAATAGAGCCGGGACCCACGATATCGTTTTTCATTGGTGCTCTGAAACGGATTTTTTTGGTTACTACACCAGAGAAGGCCTTGTCTCATTGTATTATTGATTGTTGACTTTTGTTGTTGGTTCGAAATTTATTTCTAAATTCTGGAAATAAATACCTCAGCGAATTTTAGTCGGGCTATTGACTATAGAGAGCAGCTTCTGAAACGTTACCGAGAGCATACTGCTTGGTTTTCATTACCAGAATCTCCTCCTCTTTTCACAGCTTTAGCCCTACCCACTCCGAATATACAGGTTTGTAAGCCGAAGTTGCTTCCGGGCAGAATGTCAAACTTCGTTAAAATTACTCCATTTAATGGAGGTACTACGGACTTTAGTGAAAGTGTGGACGAATACCTAGATGATATCGAGACTGCTGCACTATCATGGGATCTGAGCATTGCACCAGGAACTACCAAGGCTACTGATAGATTGAAGATCAGATTGTTTTGTCAGAACTTGGAGCGAGATGGAGATGCCTGGCATTGGTGGTATTATGTTCTTCCGGAAGCGTCAAAGAAGAGCTATGAGAGCATAGTTAAAGAGTTTAGAGAACGATACGGATTACGGGCATCAGAGGCATCATCTTTATTTGCCGTACAAAATGAGATGCTTTCACTTTCTCAAGTCGAGAGCGAACATATCCACGATTATGTTCATCGAGTTGAGAAGCTCTCTGGCAAGGTCCCTAAAGAGATGGATTCTCTTTTTGCCATTGCGTTTATTAAAGGGATGAATGACCAGGAACACAGACAGTGGATCACTTTTGATCTTAAGAATGATACAAATTTCTCTTTTGGAAAAGCCTTATCAGTAGTAAAGTTTTCCTTTCAAGAAATTGGAGAGCCAGATCCTTTCCGCCCTCAGGGAAAAGTAAATGAGTCTGATACAATGACACTTTATAAGACTCTGAATGTGGCTCAGGTGAATGTACTTAAGAAGACAGATGTTCCAGTTCAGAGCATTCCATTGGAGGTAGCTCAGCCAATGATGATACAAGAGCAGTTCAATACATTTATGGCTGCCTACGAAGCAAGTGTCGGGCGGGGATCGCGGATGAGTTCTAGTCAACTATTAAACCGACGTTTGAATACTCGAATTACTTGCTTTAATTGTGGGCAGCAAGGACACTATTCAAATACTTGCAATAGACCTCCAATTCCTTCCAATCAACAGCAGCAAATACGAGAAGATATCAGACGTGAGAGAGAACTTCAGGAACAAGATTACCGACCGCAAGAACGATACGTACCTGCTCCAGCCTCTGGAGCGAACACAGTTGCTATCTCCCCAAGTTCGATTCTTCCCCGTCCGAAGCAGCCTGCCCTGCTGGTTGTTGCTCCTATACCTGTGACTTGTGTTCGTTCTTGTTCTGTAGCCAGAAATGATCTTGGTAAAGCTTGTGCTATGTTAGCCAAAATTCCAGCTGTGCGAACTATTTTCGAGAATGCTTTGGTGGAAAAGAGAGCTAGAGTAGAGGATGATGATGAAGGGAGTGTATACGAACGTGGAGCGTCCAAAGTTCCCAGACGGACTCAGGATCAAGGAGAAAACCATCCTTTGAGAAGATCTGTCAGAACTACGAACAATCCTCGGGCAGGAAGATATAGTGATGAGATGGAAAATAATTTGAATGAAGTAGAAAAGATGGTAGAACAAGCAAGAATGGCAGAGAATGAAGCCATACATGTACGGAGAGGAGAACCAGCAATACCATCCGCTGTTAAAAGTATCAAAGCCGTCCATGATTTCGAGAATGGGTTCCAGGCCTTTGAACGTACCGATTAAGTGGATGGAAGGCCAAGAGCCTTTTACAATTGGTAATGCTCTCGATGGATCCAATATGAACTTGAGTATTACACTTCCTCAACTTCTTGACTGTTCTCCTCGTCTCCGTCGTGACTTGGCAGAACTGTTACGTTCTTCTATTCCGCGAGTAAGGAAGAAAAAGGATGCGCCTGACCACAATCCTGTTACCAGGAATGTGTTGCATTCGTCAAGCAAGGATCCAAGAAAGGAGATCATTAGTGAAGCTGCATCCAGTACAGATGAGAATATTGAATGTCTGTATATAGAGGCTTGGAGTGGCAATTATCGTATACCTGATGTTCTTGTTGATGCTGGAGCCATGCTTGACTTGATCTCAACTAGCCTAGTTGATGAGTTAGGGTTACACCGTTATCCTGTGAGCGGATTGGGAATGCATCTGGCGGATGATCACTTGGTGATATTGAAGCATTATGTTTGGGTTGACATTCTAGTTGCTGGAGTGCTCACTCATATCAAGGCATATGAGGTTGCGGTATGCGAAACCTACCAGCTTCTCCTTTCGAGAAGGTGGCTTAAGCGTGTTCGGGCAGTGGAGTATCACGATAATCAGATACTATTTATCGAGGGTAGCGATCGAACACAGCGTAAGGTTCCCGGCATTTCTATGGAAAAGTCACAGAGGAGAATGAACAAGATTGATACAGGATCTGTGATAGACGTGGATGATGAGGAAGCGGAAGAGGCGATTGAAACATTGTTAAATGAACTCGACCATTGGGAGGAAGGAGACGAAATGTTTCCGATTTCGGAAAACTAAAAGCATCGCTCTGGCATCAGGGTAAGGAACGATGCTTATATGACCCTGGGGCGAGGAAAAACAATTTGGATGAAAGGATGAATTACTTTTTGGTTGGCGGAGTGAGGTGGCATTTTGTGGAAAGGAGGATGAAAGGGTGTCAAGAATATTTTCTGGGGAAGAAGCGGAAGGGAAGAAGAGAGTAGGAATCAGAGTAGTGCAGGGTATTGGAAGGAAGAAAGAGGAGAAGTGTAAAAGAAGAACTGAGCGTGAGGGAAAGAGAGGGATAGGAAAGACTCCAGGAGTTTTGCACACAGCTGCATTAACTCGGAACAAGGCACAGCTATTTCCGACAAATCGTAGGCCAGTCAGCCATCCAATCATTACTGAGAAAGAAGTTACTCAGCCAGAAATAGATGAGTGGTTTGTCGGAACAAGTATTCACCTGGGAGAGCAACTGACTATTGGAGAACAAAAGAAAGCCAAGCGGATGCTGTATACGTGGAAGGATGTTTTTGAGACTGATCTTCTAAGAATTTGAAGAACTGACCTGATTCAACATGCGATCATTTTAACCCCCGAAGCGAAACCCTACCGAGCAAAAATTCCATTATACACGGAGGAGGAGATAGCGTTTTGTCACCGTTTGTTGCCAAAAATGGAAGAAGCCGGTTTAATCTTTCGCTGTGATAGTGAGTGGGGAGCACGAACGAAATTTCCTTGAAAGCTACGAGCAGAGTCATTACCCAAGGAGGCGAGATTGCGAATGGTGCACAATTTTATACCGCTGAATCGAGTTACAGAAAAGTCACAATATCCATGTCCTAGGATTGAGCAGATTGTCTATACTGTTTTGAAGAAAGGAAAGCGCTTCTTTTTCACTACCGATGCTGCAAACTCCTACTGGGCAATTCCAGTTAGAGCTGGAGATGAGACAAAACTCGGATTTGTTACACCTTATAGGATGTACTGTTATAATGTTATGGGACAAGGACTTACAGGTGGAACTCATACATATAGTCGGTTCAGAGACCTGGTATTTGGTGCTATTCCCGAAGGATACGAAGACAGCTCAGGTCGTAGAGTGGTGTTGGAAGGAATGGAATCGCTGATCAGGGATCAAGGCGAAGTGGCATTTGACGGAATGATTGACGATAGCTATGGAAGTGCTACTAGCTTCTACGTAATGTATCGATTTCTCCATACAAAGTTTTTTCCAAGATGTGTCTGAGGGCCGATATACTTGAAGGACTCCAAGTCTCATTTCTTTTGTGACTCTCTGGATTTTATTGGATTTAGTGCGGGCCCCAATGGTCTTCGCCCGTCTCTGCGCAAAAGAGAGGCAATTCTGGAATGGCCTATTCCTAGCACCTTCGCTGATGTAGAAGCCTTTTGTTATTTGACACCATTCCTACGACGGTTTATTCCTGGAAGAGCGGAGCTAGTCTGAATAATGAAGTACGGGATTGACGATAAAACCTTGGACAGGAAACATACGGATGCAGCGCGACGACGAAAAGAGATCGAAAAGACCTTTCAGTGGACAGAAGAGAAAAATGTAGCTTTCCAGGCGATAAAACAGGCTATCGCAAATAATGCTATGGCA